TCTAAGCAAGACTCAAAAAAATATACAAAAACAATACAATTACATACATCATGAAGTTGAAAAAGTATGCATCAACCATGGTATAAGTTAAAAACATAAGAATTTCAATGCATGAATAGCAAAGTCTACTTACATAATCAATATTACACAAAGCGAGGATAAGAGGTAGAATTACTACAAAGTACTCTATCCTAGCTTGAGACCACCAGTACCTATATACAAATACCTTTATGCAGAGGAACCATATAACAGGACATGAATAATATACATTAATAATATATATCCTGCAAGTCTATCCTTTACTCACTACTCCGCAGATAGTGCAGGCTCGACTTTCCCTACGTAGGACAGTACAGCTTTCCTGAGCTTTCCCTTTATGTATCCTACAGGGCAAAAAAGAAGAAAAACCAGGTTAAAGAAAACAACTCAAATCCTGTGAATCATTCATTCCAAAAGGTTCAACAGTAGACAGTTCATTAATCCAAAACGCTTCCCTTCTCAGGAGCTGCTTAATGATGTTCCCCCCTCTTGTATTAGGCAACACTCTTTCAATTCCAATGAATCTAAGGGAAGCTGTAGAACCATGATTTTTATCTTTATAATGTCTTGCGATGGCGTAATCAAAATTATTATTTCTGATAGCCGCTTTGTGCTCAGCAATCCTCAACTTCAGATTACGCTTTGTTTGGCCAACATACATCAAGCCACATGGGCAAATAAGCACATAAATTACATGAGTGGAAAGACAATTGATAAATTCTTTTACATTATGTTTCTTTCCGGAATGGGGATGATTAAATGTTTTTGTATCAAATGTGTTGGCACAATGTGCACATTTTCCACATCTATAATTCCCATAAACTTGCTGAGAAAGCCAGTTGGTTTGTTTTGGTTCACTATACATGGAACTGACAACAGTGTCTCTCACATTTCTGCCTCTCTTGAAACAAAATAGAGGTCTGGAGACAGATAGATGGTTTAGGCTCGGGTCACATTCTAGTACTTTCCAATGTCTATTAATAATTTGTTTGACTTGCCTCGAAACTGTAGAATATTCCGACACATAGGTGGTTCTGTTTACATTTTCATGCTGAGAAGGTGGAGGATATAATAATTTATCCCTCTCCCTCTTGTTGGCCTTCTCAATAGCCCTGTCAATAAGGGATTTGTCATATCCTCTTTGTTTGAACCGTTCAGCCATTTCTTTAGTCTTAATGATGTAATCCTCTTCATTACTGCATATTCTTCTCAACCTTATGAACTGCTCGTATGGGATATTTTTAATGAGGTAGTCAGGATGGAAACTAGTAGCATGTAAAATAACGGTTCTATCAGTGTTTTTACGATAGATAGGTAGATGTCTGGAAATGGAGTCTTCACAATGTCTTTAATGAAAAAGTCCACAAATTGGCTTAAAGGCTCAGACAATGAGTTCTTACTTGCTACAATGGGTCTGCCCGGAGGGTTCACCAATCGCTTGTGTATTTTGGGCAATAAGTAGAACACAGGAGTCATTGGGTATTCCACTTTCAGAAATTCAAATTGTTTTTTAGTGATCCACTGGTTCTCCAAGGCTCTGTTCAGAATAGAATCCCTCTCTTCTACAAAGATCTCCACCGGGTTATGTGGTAACTTTCTGTAAAAAGAGGCATCACCAAGTTGTCTAAAGGCCTCAGCTGTATAATCCTTAGTACAACTACAGCCCCTCCCTTATCGGCTGCTTTTATCAAAATTTTAGGATTGTTCTGTAGTTCATTGAGGGTCTTTCTCTCTAATATGCTGATGTTATGTTTCATGACCCTGTTTTTAGATTTAACAGCAGCTTCAATGTCTCTTTCCACAAGTTTACTAAATGTGACCAGAGTAGGATTGGGGACACCCGGGGGCATAAAGGTAGTTTTTTTCTTAAACTTACTCAAAGGGTCACGGAGTCCCACGTCAGTCTCATTCACTCTTTTGTGAAAAAAATGTTTCAAATGGAGCTGTCTGAAAAATTTGTAAGAGTCAACTTTCAATTTGAAAGCATTAACTTTATTAGTGGGAACAAAAGATAGCCCACGACTCAAAACATTACTTTGGAGGGTGGTGAGTGGATAATCAGAGATGTTAATTACTGAGAGTTCTACCTCCGGCTGCGATTCCGTGTTACCATATTCCACTCCTTGCTGGATGACAGGTGCACTCCTCGTCCTCTGTCCCCTCCTGGTTTTCTTCTGGGTATGCGGTCTAAAAAAGCTCCATCAGTGGAGGATGCGCTGGTGTGGTCCTGATCACTTGTCCCCTCCTCACTGGTGAGGAGAAGATTAGGACATTGGCTCCGACGGCTGCCTTCCTGTCGTCTTGGTGCGCGTGTGCCTGGTGCGCGTGTACCTCCATGCGTGTGGGGTCTCCAGTTGCACTGTGCGCTGGTTGTCCAGTTGTAGACTATCCCTCTTTTATAATCCTCCGCGTCTCGCTGGTACTTCTTTATTTTGTAGGCTTTCAGTTCACTCTCAAACTTGGTCAATTCCTCTTTTAGCTCAGTTTCCATAGTTGAGTAGTCAGCTAGGCTCATTTTGTTCTTCAGAGTAGTTTTTGTTTCTTGCAAATCAATTTTCACTTTCTGAGTCTCTTGCTTAGTTTGTTCAATAATAAGTAAAGTCAGATCAAGTGAGCACTTATTAAGGATCTGGTCCCATTTCTTTATGAATTCAGGGTCTTGATTACCCAGCGTGGGTTTCTTATTAATTCTCAGTCCTCTGGGGATTTGTTTGTTGCGCCAATATTCAGACAGTGCAATGCCGTGCCATTTAAGGCGAATCTCTTTTTTCTCCAGGTGCATCATCTTCGACTTCTCATTTGTCAGACTTACTGTCGGGATATCCTTCTGGCCGTCATCAAAGAGGGATAGTTGAGAAATAATATGTTTTGCCTCCGCATCATCGAAGGAGAAGCAAGACGCTTATCTCATGCTCACTTTGTTCATCCATAGTGGTATGAGGGGCGTGCAAAGGAAAGGGAAACTTCCTGCAATGTTTTCAATAGTAAAACTGGAATCAATGAAATCTCCTTGCACAGCTACAGATCGTCAGGTGCTGGTAGGCAGCAGGAACGTAAGTCATAAGATATGCAAAAAAATCCTCTGCACACTGACATAGACTTTACTATCGAAATTTAATGAAGGGAACAACGCGTTTCGCTTTTAGCGTCATCAGGTTCACCTCATCAGGTCTGACCTAAGCATTCTCAGGTGTGTTTAAATGCTTGCTGGTCACATGACCAATTTCGTTTTTTCTTTTTTTCTCTGTTTGTCTAAGCAAGACTCAAAAAAATATACAAAAACAATACAATTACATACATCATGAAGTTGAAAAAGTATGTATCAACCATGGTATAAGTTAAAAACATAAGAATTTCAATGCATAGCAAAGTCTACTTACATAATCAATATTACACAAAAGCGAGGATAAGAGGTAGAATTACTACAAAGTACTCTATCCTAGCTTGAGACCACCAGTACCTATATACAAATACCTTTATGCAGAGGAACCATATAACAGGACATGAATAATATACATTAATAATATATATCCTGCAAGTCTATCCTTTACTCACTACTCCGCAGATAGTGCAGGCTCGACTTTCCCTACGTAGGACAGTACAGCTTTCCTGAGCTTTCCCTTTATGTATCCTACAGGGCAAAAAAGAAGAAAAAACAGGTCGCAAAACTCGTTCATTTCACCAATATGTTTTTATGAATCGCTAGAGTTGCTTGTCATCTTCATCCGGGTCATTTATACTGAGCTACTAACCTCTGCAAAAACAAAATCAGAGGCAATTCGTAAAGACAATCCTCTTTACCACCAAAACGTTCACCTTTCTGTTTATCACTTTTTGTCACTGAGCGATGAGAAGAAACTAAAGAAATGTAAATTCTCATAGTTATTTACTTATCAAGCAAACAATTTCAAGGAAAATTAAAGGTGCAAGCAGCGATGAACGGGCCCTCGCAGTCCATGCGCGTTGGGGCACGCTGCCGTCGGGGGGCCTGCACCTAGATGTCTTGTCAGCTGTAATAAATAAAAAAATAAACGTTATCTCTTACTTACATTTCCAGTATACAGGTAGGCACCCCACCCACGTATGTATTTTTCCAAAAAGTAGAAGCTGAATACATGCCCAATAGCTCAAGGTCTTCTGACTCTTTAAAAGTTGACATGGTGTCTCTAGCTCAAAGTATGAGGGACAAGAAGAGGTTGAAAGTCGAGTTTTGAAGAGGATTTGAAGATTTTCCAATTTACTGCCAAAAAAACAGTAGCAAATTCCAGTTGTAAACAAAGCTGTGCTGCGGGTGTGCGGCGGCGCGTGCACCTGGATGACATCATCCAGGTCAGAGGTTAGTAGGTCAGTATAAATGATCCGGATGATGATGACAAGCAACTCTAGCGATTCATAAAAACGTATTGGTGAAATGAATGAGTTTCGTGGCAGATAATGTGTTATTTAGAGCCTCATTGTTGGTGCCCCAATCATTCCCACTATATGGATGTACGTGGCTCTCGCGGATCTAAATATCTTCCGAAGGACTCCAAATGACACCAAACTTATCTGGGTGAGTAAACAACCGTATTTAATGCCAGAAATAAGGTCCAGGTTGTAAAAAACGGAACTTCCCCTTCAAGTATGTTATCTGAGAGCTTGAATTTGGTTAGTTTGGAGAGAAGAACGGAATGACTCACAGTGTCAAATGCCTTACGTGGATCCAGAAAGACAGCTCCTACTACCCCACCTTTGTCAAGCGTATCCCTGATGACCTCAAGGAAGTAACAGCAATACCGTTTCCGAAGAATGATTTGCACGGAAACCGAATTGCATTGGATGTAGTAATTTTTCTTTATCAATATGAAACTACAACTGTTCTGCAACCACTTCTTCAAGCACTTTGGAGATGGCGGGGAGTATACTAATAGGTCTATAATTTGTCGCTTCCTGTCGGTCACCTGATTTAAAAACTGGAGTTACGATGGCTGACTTAAGGGCAGAAATTTGCTTTGGCCTTTCTGAACTGTGTGGTCACTTTGTTTCTAAGGCTTTATAAGCTAGTCGATTGGTTTCTAGCCCAGATTTCAAGGATTTTTTTAGAGCCATATCACTGTTTTTTATTAGCTGTCCTAGCTCTTCAGTGAACCATGGCAGAAGCTGTCTTCATTTACGCTTAAAAAATTTTGTTTTAGTGAATTTGAGCAGGAGCTCTGAGAGAATAGCTTTTAACTCCTTACATGCCAGCTCATAGTTTACACCTTCAGTCACTCTGCCCCATTTTATTGATTTTAATTCATTTTCTAAGCGATCCACATTCTTTTTGTGGATAAATGATGTTGGTGTATCCTCTCTTATTCCATTATCTGCTCTATATCTTAGCTTATTTAACCGTCGTGACACTAAAGTCAGATTGTGATCGGAGATACCTGTGATCAGATTATAGCTTTTCGAGACATGATCAGGTCTATTAGTGAAGATTAAGTCCAGTAATGTCTTGGAAGACTTTGTGATTAATGTGCTTAAATGGGTAGACAGCGAACCAGCAGGACTTAAGAGGTTTTAAACTATCAAAGAGCTAATATAAAAATGACCTGCTTCACAGTGTAAACAATAACCATTTATTTATTTATTTGTTTGCATTTATTTGTAAAAATAGGTAGCCACACCCTGCGATTAAAAGTGACTTTCTGGCTTTTGGCTTTTAGAAGTTTTTTAGTGTATGTGTGTATGTATGTATGTATATTTACAAGTATGAGTGTGTGTGTGTGTGTGTGTGTTTGTGTGTGTGTGTGTGTGTGTGAAGCCTATATGTGTATGTATGTGTACGTACGTGTATGTATCCACGCATATATGTATATATTATATATATTTATAATACTTAAATTGCATTTTCTGTGAATTATGTTCTTTTACGTCTTTGTTTTTCATACTATTTATTATTATTATTATCATCATTAGAATTATTATTATTTAGAATTATTTTTACAATGACGGCCTGATTATATTGTACATCACAATTTTTGTGTCTTGGCGAATGCGGGGATCCACTACAAACTGGAACATATTATAACCAGCTGTCCCAAACACCAGCCACTGAACTGCAATCGTGGTCTATATGACCTGGACAATGAAACACTGGACTGGCTTGCCTCAACTGAGCTGAAGGTCTTAAGACATATGCCAGAAGAAGACAATTTTTGTGTGGTCAAAATCATAATAACATGTTGACATGGCTAATGGGCACAGCTGTGGAATTCAAACTGTACGCTGTGTAACAGTCTGGATAATGATCATCTGTCTGTCTGCACACAGCATCAGTAATAATAATAAAGTAACAATGAGTTTACCATTTGGCATTTCAGACTTGGGGCAAGTTTTAAGTGCAAGATTTCATAAGTACATAAGGCATGAGCGGTAACCAAGTGTTGTGCAATATTTACTTTGCCTCCTTTCGTGTCTGTTTGTGTACTGTCTGTCTTTCCAGGGAGCCACTGAGGTTCAGAACATGTGTGTGGTGTGAGTATCACACATCCGTTGTACTCTCTGTACCAAAGTTTGTAAACATTTCTGTTACTTACAGGAAAAGGATGATGCCGGTGTTGGACATGGCGTACGACAGACCCAGAATGCCGCTGCCCATGATGGCATTGCTCAGGTTGAAAACAGACATCCCAAAGGAGGTTTTACCCTCAAACTGGAAAAGAGATAAGACTGGAATATTAACTTCAAAGACACAATAACAAGTTCATTAATGTGTAGTGTCAAAGGCAATACAATAGCTTTCAGCACCCACAAATCATGCTACCATGTCTTCTACAACATCTTTTCACACGCACTCTTCTACTTTAGCATTCTGTTTTGGAGGAAATAAATGCTGTCTTGAGTAAGTTGACAACATTTTTTAGTTTAGTTATCCCTGAAATCAGGGGCATAGCAGCAAATTCTGGGCCCTGTGCATAAACAGTGTCTGTGGGTCCCTCGCCCTTCCTCTCTTGATCCATATCTGTGTTATGCACCTTTTGTTTTTTGTTTTTCTTTTAACAAAGTCAATTTCCTTTCTTTATTTCTGTCTTTTAATTTTTGGAACCATGTTCTCCCTATCTTGGGGTAACACATGGTCGTTTGTGTTGGTGCTCCAGCAGCTTAAGCAGTGACTCATGTGGCTCTAGCTGTGTTTAGAGATTAATTCTAGTGCCAGAGCAGAACATTTTTGTACCTTTAAGGGGTGAGAGGGGCCTTAGAGAGCTTCAGCTATTTTTTATACAAAGTTCAGTCTGTAAACTGATTTATTCAGCTAGTTACTTAAAATGAATAAACAAACAAACCCCAAATTTTATTCCAAGTTTTTCATGAGTCCCCTCCCATTGGGGCCCTAGGTAATCAGTCTTACTTTCCTGCCCAATTACGACCCCCATTGCCTGAAATATGTGCATGTAATATGAGTAGTTCAGCTCACTAAAAAACAAACAAACAAAAAACGTCTTACACCTAATAAGGTGAAGATGGTGATCATAGAACACAAATAAAATGTACTAACTGACATGCTGACGACCTGGCACATACCAAAAGTTGAGTAAAGGCAAATTAAGTTGAATTTATTGAATTATTATAAAATATAATCAAAAGGTAACTGCCCTCAAGGGTGACAGAAGTTGTGCAGCTTTTGACACCTAAATAGTTAGACATGGCCTTGAGACAGAAGGTGTTAAAATGTTTCTGTGGTCAAAGATAACCATGTCCCTACATGCTTTCTGGCTGGGGACCTTTGTGGAATGTCATTACCAACTCTATCTCCCCTCATATCATCTCTAGGGGTGGGAATCACCAGAGGATCAACAATATAATATTATTACGGTACCTATGTCACAATACAATTTTATTTTCAATTTTTATATTTCGATTTTAAATATGTTGTGATATGCTCAGTATTGCAATAATATAAATTGTGATATCTTGCAATTTAATACTTTTTTCAACCCTAAATTATGTCCTCAAAGGAAAACTTTGTCAACATAATTTTATCTAATAAATAGGGCTGTCAAAATAATGCATTAATTTTGATTGATTAAAAACAAAGCATGAAAAAAAATATGCACATTAAAAAAAATACTGCAGATTAATGGCATTCCGTGTTGCCCTTTGACTCAGTGTGTCATTTACCGACACAGTGGCTTTGGCAGACGAGACAACACTGTTTGGCCCCATGAATGGAACATTTACATTTCAAAAACACCAAGATGGAACTGTTGATAGGAGCACTGTTCTCTGCAATTTCTGCAGTAAGGAATTTTTGTACCATCGGAGTACTTAAAGCCTATATCACCTCAATGCAATGCATTTAGCAGCGAACACAGAGGTCCAAGCTAGCACTGCCTCTGATGCTCGCACTAGCAAGCCAGTCTTGTCAAGCCACACTTGACTTGATCTTTTTAATCACTTGACAGCCCTACTAATAAGATAAAGTTTTCAGTCTGTTCATCTCACCACAGCCATTTGCAGCAGCAAAATGTATGTTGTGGACTGAAAAAGCAATTGATTATATTATTCTAGTAGGCTAGGTAGTCATGTTGATAATTTATGTTATTAAAAAAATCAGTACTTGGCACTGTGTGACGATATGATTTTTCCACACAAATATATTGCAATACTATGCTGTATCAATTTTTTCTCCCCACCCCTAACCATCTCTATACCGTCCACTGTCTAATAAAGGCATAATATGGCCCAAAAGATTGTCTTTAATAAGAGATCCTCCCCAGCTTTAGTTTGAGTTTATTTGGACCCTTTAATACCCTCGTCCCAAAGTTAGATAGTTATTGCAAATGGTGAAATTACAGCAGCTCCCTCTCTGTTTTTTGATTAAAGAGCTGCGGAATAGACAGTTATTATAGCCATTGAATGAGTGAAGCAGACACAGACAGCTGGTGGCAGGCTCCAGCACCAAGCACGGATTCCAGACAATGAAAAATAAGGATGAATTATACCAGATGATCTGATCTTGAGATGACACAACAGCTGAGATGTTTGAGTGTCAGTCATTATTAAACCAGCCACATGATGCATAAGCTGCATGGACAGGTGTATGGAAAACATTAAGGGCCCTATTTAGATGGTCTAAAACGCGAAGCGCCAGGTGTGCGGCACATGGGCGTGTCCCAGTCACTTGCCAGTTAGACAGCGCGTTTTTAGACTGTGCGCCATGGCGGAGAGTCTAAAAGGGTTGGACTTACTCTGTGAATTAGTCATGGGTGTGTTTTGGGCGTATCATTCAATAAGCCAATCAGAGTGTCACCTCTCATTCCCTTTAAAAGAGGCGTGATTGGAGTGCATGGCTGAGAGCTAGTTAGATGGCGGACCTACCTACTGGAAAGAGTGAGCGTTTTACAGCTGAGGAGACGGATCTCCTCATGCGGGAGGTGAAGGCCTGTCAGAACCAGATCTACGGGGACAGCAGACAGGCACCCAAGCTCCCCGAGGTAAAGCAGGTGTGGGATCACTAATACAAGAAAGATCTTACTAAATATCTGTGGAATATTATTCAAACCTGTTTTCATCATATAACAGAGCACAGCTGTCAGGACTGCCGCAGAGCTCCCCAAGGTGCTGATCCTGCAGCTAGGACCTGTTCAGAGTTTTTTTTCCGCCACCCACGTTTGTTAATTGTTTTCACGTGTTTCCTAGAGCTGTGTTCTGCCTCTTATTTGCATGTGTGTCCTCTCTACACTCAGATAACAATATCATAATATAATATAATGTAGCCTAGTATATAATGTAGCCACATAATGTGACCATTAAGACGTGTTTCTGATAAATATTTTAATGTGCACAATAATAACCTTTCACATTGTAATCATATTTTTATTTGTTATCTTTTGCATATGTGTGGCTGTTACGTGTGTGTCTGAGCAGAGTGCACGCGCGTGTGCACCCACCTAGAGACGCATATTACTAACTTGTTTCACAGCGAAATACTGCGCCGTTGACTTTAGACCAGGTTTTTGTTGGTCACTGGCGCATTTGCTTTTTACGTCATCTAACTAGCAATGCGCCATGACTGCACCTGACCACTCCTCATTTTTAGACCTCACTCCTCATTTTTAGACCAACACACCCAGAGAAGTGCAAGTTCATTTGCTAGTTAGACGACGAGGGCGCAGGGCATGAAAATGACAACTGTGCCTGCATCTAAATAGCAATGACACTTGCGACATTGATTATGCGCCCTCCGCAGTCTGCTTTAGACCATCTAAATAGGGCCCTAAATCAGAGCACATGTACAGAATAAGGTCCAGTGCTCACCCACTTATTGATCCTCCCTCCCTCCATTACAGTTTGAACATTGTCCCTTCGGACATGATGACAACATAACTTTCACAAGAAAAAATTAAATGTTGATTGCTGTGAATTCTATGCTGTATCAGATCACAGAGAGCACCAGCAGGCTGCATGGCCTCAGCCTCTCTCTCATACTCACATCTATAAACTGAGGTCTCTTTGATCCATCACTCCTGTGTTGAAGGAATTTTTCTTCCTCTGGCGGAACTCTGCAATATCCATCACAAACAACGAAACAAACTCTGCACAACTTTAAATGATGTGAAGGTATATGATTTACCAAGAATTCATAGTGAGTCAGCAAATAGTGCACACACAAGAAACCTACCCTCCCTCCACAGGCACAGCCACGTCATGGTGGTGATTACCATTTGATAGCTTCTGCAGTTCCATACTTAGGACAGGCACATAAACTGACTTATTCCATCAGATGATTTTTTTTCCAAAGAAAAGGGTATTGAAGTTGAAATCTGAAAAAGAAGAAACAAAACACAAGTACCTTAAAACCACCTCATGTATAATTGGATATTTAATCATGTTATATTGACTGTAGAACACAGACCTCTTCAATATGTAAACACACTGCAACTACTTCAGCTATAACTACAATGTTTGACAAAAAGTATGTTTTATGCACACAACACACGTTTTTGCTCCCACCAATGAATTAGAATAAATTATCAAAGACATAGTTGCTCAAAGTGCAGGCAGGCAAATCAACCCTTAGAAACATTTGTGCAGCCGCTGAATGTGACAGGAAATGCATGCTATATTTGCATGTTATATTTTAATCACTCACAGTCAATTTAGATACTTTTACCCTTGATATCTTATATTACTTGGCTACTGCATCAACTGTGACCCCCTGACAAGTGTCTGTCAGATTAGGAATGATAACTAGTGGAAAGCAAGCAGCAACCTCCTGGGCTGCAAATGAAGCCAAAACCCAAGTACCAAAAACTGCAGTTCTTTAAATGGCCAATTGAGGCTGGCTTTGGAAAACGGTCAGTCCTCATGGACATTTATACAGTTTTGGTAGAAAGCCAGTGGTTACTTGGCAACTAGTTGGACCATACAAGTGCCGTGGCAATTCTGTTTGGTCATCAATGTTAGTGCTGTTAGCTAATTCAGCCATTTCAGTGAACAACTCTGTAATTTATTGCGGAAGCGAGATGGAAAAGCCAACATGGAAAAATGCTATATGGTTTTGGAGACAAGGGGGTTTTAGGAAAAAAGGATTAACTCTTACTTCATTTAACCTTGGGGGACAGATGAAGTGATCTGCCGTTTCTGCAAACAGGTGAATTTGATGTTCGAGGAATTTAAACACCATTATGAGACTAATCACAAACCCTACAAGTTCATGGATTAAGAATGCAAAAGTATGGTTGAACAGTTTCAGCGAGACCTATCTGCACATGTAAGTCTTCACAAATCTTTGGAAAAGTAATGGAAGGGTGTAAACAGGTAAGCTTTTTGGTAGCAAATGAACATGCTAAGCTTGGTGAGCAGTTCAGTTCTGTGCAGGACTGCTTGGTAAAAATGTCTGACATCCCAGAGAAAGAAAAATCTGAAATAAGATTTCATCAAGTTCTCTGTTTCTCCTAGACAGCAATGAGATCAACATGATACAAAAAGACCATCCTACTTATGATACTTGTTTTTTTCCTCCTGAGAAACAGATGAGCATTCTCAGATCAGACCTCTGCTGATCTTATACAGGAGATCTCAAATAAGCCTCAAATGATGCTCAGTTTAACAACACTTTTGCTTCTCAAAGTTAACTCAGACTGAGATCAAAGGGAGCTCTCTGCATAATCTCCTTTAAATCTCATTTCAGACTTGAAAAAATGTCTTAGATTGGACTCATTTATTCTGATCTATAAAAAAGTCTCCACAAAGTCTTAAGTTGGTCATATGTTTTGGATGGGACTGATAATAGACCTATCTCAACCCCTGACCTATTGTCTTGAGTCTCTAATCACAACTGCAACTCTTCTTAGAAGCAGTTATGACTGAAGAAAGAAAAAGGGTGGGGCTTGATATAGGTTCATAGCATTGAAGCTACCATGATGTAATGTTTTCCTAAATATTTATTGGAATAACTCCTACTTAAATAATGTATATCTTTGTTACTGTATCATTTTGCACAGTAGTTAACTATTTGTTTGCAATCACTATCCAATGTAGCTACCATTTTCTCTATCTTACATTACTCATTATTTTTACATGAGGCGTGGAAAGGTTTATAAGACACTTATAAGACACTAACCCAACTGTGATGGAATTTTAACTAGCAGTCAGAGAAAGAATATGTGAATAGGCGACACCAACACAGTGTTGTGAAGCACCAACAGCAATTTTCAGTCTGTTCTAAAAAATATATACATCAGTTGGCTTAATGTTAGCTTGCTCTGCACTGACAGTTTATCTGAGCGAGACACACACACAGCCAGTCAGAGCCTGATGCCTGGCAGCAGACCAAGATTTGGTCTTCAGGTGGTCACGGTGTGGTTATTTGGTGCATGTAAACCAGAGACACAAAATACACAACTGTTTTTTGTGAACACACTATAGACTGTATATAAGAGATGGAGTGGAAGTGACGGTGACATCACACATTGGTTTGTAGACTGCTGTTATGAGGCCTTGAGTTTTGAATATGACCACTGCCATGTGGCTCATTTGGAGCCAGAAGTGACAATATTTGGGTGAGCTAAGAGTGGAACTGAGGAAGCACAAGAGGTTGGATTTGATTGTCTCAAACGGGTCAATTGACTCCCACATGGCGGACATAAAAACCTTTTATAAGTCCTAAAATCTTATTATCAGAGCAATAACTTTAAGAAGGACCATCAGTGCATATAAGAGTGGAATGGGGGTCCACAGGAGACAGGGCTTTTTGGAACCACCAGCAGCAGGGGCCGTTTCACAAAGCAGGTTCAACAAACTCTGAGTCTAATCCTGAACTCTGAGTTGATCTACTCTGAGATAGGAAACTCTGAGTTTCTGGTTCCAGAACAGCTGATTTGAATCAGTTTAATCAACTCGGAGTAGTTTCACCTGGAGTTAAGCGCGTGCAGCACAACTATAAAAAGCCACCATCAATGGAGCCCCGATTCGACGAGTCACCATGGCAACGGGGAAGAGGAGGGCTGCGTTTTTCACCCCACTAGAATTTGAAATCTTAATGCGCTCATACGGCGAGTTTGCACACGTTTTCAAAAAGAAGTGCAACACCACTGCAGCTGCAAAAGAGAGGGAGACGGCATGGGAGAACATTGCTGCTCGGGTCAGTGCCTAAGTTTAAATGTAGTCCTTTGCAATCACAATAATATTACAGGGGAAAACTGCTTGAATGGTAGCCTATTAATTTATTTCATTTAGGTGCAATCCCGCTGGGGAGAAGCGCACTTTGCAGCAGTTTAGGATGAAATATAAAAACATTGTTCAAACAGGTAAGACCTCGGCATAATCTCATGGGGGTACCTCATTTTGATCATGTTTTACATTGTAAAGTAAATATTAAGTGGCTGTTTGACTGTGCAGTTGTTTTATCCCCAACATAATGCTGTTTTCACACACATAAATGTCTTCTCATCTATATCACGTTCTGTTAAATAATTAAGCCTATTTAAACTAACACAGACTTCTACTCAGCCAACAGAAAGAAGGCAGATGCCCGTAAAACGAGCACACTTTTCTGACCGCCCTGCATACAGTTGCCTTACTCAAGTGCTCAGCATCTCCGACATTGTACAACAAACTTCCATTTGCAAAGAAACGCAGCGCAACACACAATATCTGCTGGGATGTGAGAGCATGACTACAATTGGTAATGTTGTAAATGTAAGGACGGATTAGGTTGTGTATGTAGATGATGGACTGTGACGTGAAACAGTACTGCTCAAAAAGATAACTGTGTAGAACATCTATGCGCGGTCTGATAACCATCTCCCGACAAATATTTAATTCTCTGCGCAGTAATGCTGCACCTTCATCCACGGGATCGTTATCAAAAGGACATGTCATGTTAGTGAAAAAAGTCGCCACCTACTGTGCCCAATGGACTTCTAATATACTGACTCTGATTTCTTTAATGATTTTTTAAAATGACAGAGGGCAGAACTAGGCTATGCCAAAACTCGCCTGCTGACTGAATGAATGAGGAAATCAAATGGAGTGTGCGGCTCTGAAACAGGGCGGAGACAGAGAGAAACTCGAGGTTCATTGAGAAAAACCTGGTCCCGACCAGGTTAGGTTCATAGAGTCTGTTACTACGGTAACTGACCTAGATCTTAAGTTATTTCTCTCTCTGAAACAGGTTAGTGTTACTTCTCTTTCTCTGGTTTGAGTTACCTCCCTTTTTGAAATGGAAAACTCAGAGTTTCCTTCATTTCAGGGTTAACAGACTCTGAGTTTTCACTAAACCTGCTTTGTGAAACGGACCCCAGGACAGCAGCGGTTATCCTGTCATAAGAATGATGTTGCTGTTGTAGGCAATGCTAGTTTTTCTTTTGTTCCCTATCACAAGCATTATGTTGCTGTAGAAGTAATTTAAATGAAGCAGGTGTGATGAATTCCAGTAGCTGCCGCTTATGGGGTGCCGTTTGTACAGTGTCTCACGCTGAAAATAACATCAACATTTTGCCACATTTAGCTTCAAACAATGTTTAAAAAAGTATTGTGAATTTTTTAACATCACCTTTTACCACATTTACAGCAATATTTGTTAACTTAGAAATATATTAAATAGTTAAATCTAAGGTAACACTACATAATACGGCCCGCGACTTAGAGCGTACCTACCGCTCACTTAGAGCTTACCTACCACTCACTTTGCACCTAATTTAACAGAAGTACTGCGTAACTCTCGCTCACCCCCCCCCCC